GGTTACAGCTAATCTCCAAAGGAATCCCTGTGTGGTTGATGATGCCAATTTAAGTACTCCCTGATGGACCTTTGTGCTAATGGCATCAATGCCTGATTTTGAATGATAGATTGAAATTTCAAGCGTAACATGTAGAAACCTCATGTTGGATGTTTTTAAGTTTTATGATATGTGATTGTACCTTGAACAATATCATCTGATGTCAACTGAAGCAATAAAATGATGAAATTCATTCACTGAAAGAGGAAAGACGGAACATCGTTTAGAAATGGATGGTAATTTAGTTTGAAGTTTTGGACTTTGTTTGAGGTACTTTTGTATCAGATTTTGCTGTTAATCATGCATTTCCCTGGTTCTTGGATGGTAAAAGGTTAACTAATGACAGAATTTTGTATCTGGAAACTGGTTAATATTTTTGCTGCTAGCAAGCAATGTCTTTATCCCCTTCTCTGAAGTCTGAAGGCCACGTGAAATGCCTGGGAAGATGCATGTTTATATATTCCCTCAAGATAATGCTTGAAAGGCAGCAAATGCCCTTGAATATCACCCACCCCCCCCAAAAAAAAAGGGATAAAGAAGCAAATGCTCTTTCAATTAAAGAACCATGTGTTAGTTTCTATTTTTCTTTTTAATTTTTTTTCTTGTTAGCTGGCATTTAAGCTTAATGTTTGAGGGTAACAATTTTTTCTATCTGACAAAACTACATGTTTCTGTTTAGGAGTAGTTGTTGGTTTGTCTTGTGACTATAGTTTCTTCTCCATGTTATTTAAAATGTATTACTTTTGTTTTCTTACATATTTTCATGTTTAGGCAAGTCACCCTCACACAACCTTGGCAATGGAAGAGAAGGTAGATGCTGAGCACCAGTTAATGGTGGTTGAAGGTTTTCAACATTCTATGCAAATTGTTCCACAAAGAGCACGGTTTCCGTGCTGCATTGTCTGGTCACCCCTTCCTGTTATATCATGGTTCATTCCTTTCATTGGCCACATTGGCATATGCAGAGAAGATGGAGTGATACTGGACTTTGCAGGCCCCAATTTTGTATGTGTAGATAATTTTACTTTCGGGGCTGTAGCTCGCTATATCCAAATCAACAAAGATAAGGTATATTCAGGTTCCTTTGCTGTCGTCTTTCTTATCTTTGATGTGGCCATTCGTTATATCTCTGAAGTGCATGTTGTAAATTAATTTATGTTCCTAATCCTAAATTTGATACATTCCCCCTCTGAATCTATTGCCAGGAATGCCGGGTTTCTCCCCATCCATCAGCATTCAAAGATGAGGAGCTATACATGCAAGATGATTGTGGAAGGGAGGCCTTAACATGGGATGATGCACTAAGAAAGGGCACCCAGGAGTTCCAACATCGATCATACAACCTCTTCACTTGTAATTGCCATTCTTTTGTTGCCAACAACCTCAACAGGATGGGCTTCCGTTCTGGTGGATGGAATGTGGTGAACCTTGCTGTTTTCATCTTCCTCAAGGGCCAATGGGTGAACAAAGCATCTGTTTTGCGATCGTTCTTACCATTTGTTATTGTATCTGGTACTGGACTCATGCTTGGTGGCACAACATTCCTAACTTTCTTGGTCTTCTTTGCTCTACTTCTTGTGGGTTGGTTCCTTCTCGGTACTTACTGCTTCAAGAATTTGATACAGTTGTAGCTTTTGTGTTATGCCAACCCCAATCGCACACAAAAACTGTATTCCAGCATTCGTAGATACACACAAATGACATTAGCAGGGAATGTTTTGCCCAATCTACAACATTAGAGTGAAGTATCTTGTGCTCCTCTTTCTTTTCCTCTATACTAAAAGGTGAAATCGTGAACAAAATCATGAGAATTGGTGATCAGAATAGAGGTGCAAGTTTAGTGGTTAAGGACTTAGGAGTTAAGAACTCGCAATGGTGCGGTTGTGGGTTTTACTTGTATAAATGAGGGGTTTTCTCTAATATATTTTTTCTAAAATTTGTACCATTGTTGTATTATGTGCTATTGAAGTCTATTTCTATTGGTAATATTTACCGAATAAAGAAGAGAAATAAAGATGTTTTGATCTTTTTAATATCAAAATATCAAATTTTAAGTACATGATGGATGAAACTAAAGTGAGATTTAACTTATTGGACGGCCACAGTAATAGTTAGACGTAAACAAAATTTCACTAATCCAACGGCCAAAAACTCTAGTGTTTTTGCTCAAAAGCAGGAATAGTGTGTTGCTGTTGCATCATTTGCAGGACGAAATCGTGGTTACATTTTTTTTTTCTAGTATTAATCATGGTATCTGAAACTTATATTGAGACTCCATTAATTTAAAGTCAGAAAAGTTCTTTCAAGAGACTTGAATTCGATAATTTATTTAAAAAGAACATAACTCATTCCACATAACCAATAAGTCATTTATTAAAATTGTTCCATTTACACAGTCAATTGCCTATTTAAGTAGAAACGTTACTTGTAACGGGGGCGCCAAAAGAGAAAACAGGGGGTGTTTCTTGTGTGATAAGAATCCGTCTGAGAGTGTTCTGTTATCGACTGATAGCTACCGGAAATGGCTGCCGAGGAGGGTCAGGTCATCAGTTATTACACCGTCGAGTTTTTGAACGAGCACCTCCAGAAGAGCAAGGAATTTAAGAAACCGGTAACCCTAGTTCTGTCGTAGTTTGTATTTTTTTTTCCCCCTTTTGAGAACTACGTTTATTTCTTTTATGATAGGTCTAAGAACTGCTTTCATTTTTTGAGGGCTTTTTATGGTCTTTTTTGTGATTTAATGTGAACTTAAATGATGGGTTTTGGATTTAAGCATTTGGCTGATGAATACAGACATGGCTGTTTTTTTGGTTCTAAGGTGGCTATTTGTTTTAATTTTGAGTGTTAATTTGCTTTAACTAGAAAATATTGTGAGATAATTTTATTTTTCCAGTCAAGTATATGCCTTCTAATATTTTTGTTTTGCCCTCAGTTATGTGAACAATATATACCCTTAATTGTGGAATGTATTTTCTAGGACTGGTACTTAGGATAATATAGAAATGAGCAAGTTACTGTGGTGGTAGAGAACTAGAGATGCTTGTTCTGATATTCAGAGAATTAATTGGAGATGTGAAAGGAAAATGAAGTTTGCATTATTTTCACTAATAAATCTTCATACTTTTTTACTTTTTCCTGCTCTAGCATGATACATAACATCTATGGCTATGTAGGTGGTTATTGATTTCACTGCATCATGGTGTGGAC